CTCGCTCTCAGCTCTGCCTTCGGATGAGTCCGTAGAGTCGAGTGGCCCGTACCCAGAGCTTGTTGGCTGCCTCATGTACCTGATGACCTGCACACGACCTGACCTCGCATACCCTCTTAGCATTCTCGCACGCTATGTTGCTCCTGGGAGACACAGACCGGAGCACATGGCTGCAGCGAAGAGGGTGTTGCGTTACTTGTGCAGTACGTCGGGCATGGGGCTTGTGCTTGGAGGGCAGAGTCCAGTGGTCCTCACTGGGCACGCAGACGCTTCTTGGGCTGACGACCAGGCTACGCAGCGGTCGTCACAGGGTTACACCTTCAGCCTTGGTTCCGGCTCTGTTTCGTGGCGGGCTACCCGCTCGTCTTCTGTTCTCGGCTCCAGTTGTGAGGCTGAGATCTACGCCGGGGCCATGGCTGCACAGGAGCTTCGCTGGCTCACCTACCTGCTGACTGACCTCGGAGAGCCGCCTCGTTCTCCTCCAGTGCTGTACGTAGACAACAAGGCCATGCTGGCCTTGTGTCGAGAGCAGAGACTGGAGCACAGAACGAAGCACATTGCTCTCCGCTACTTCCTTGCTCGTGAGCTACAGCAGCGTGGTCAGCTGCGGCTTGCGTACATGGCCTCTCAGGCCAACACTGCTGATATCTTCACCAAGGCACTTGCGCCTTGTGATCATCAGCGCTTCTGTACTCAGCTGGGTCTTGTGCCCACCTTGCCTCACTTGCTCACCCCTTGACCTTGTTTGTACTGATGCATATATATATATATACTCCTGTTAGAATCACTAGCTAGGGAACGAGAAAGTTGATGATTAGGTGAAGATTGGGGTACAAGACTAGAGTGTCGAGACTATTTCTGTACCCCCTAAGGCTAGCCCCAATATAGCCTAGATACAATTATGCATATGTTTTGACACACCCCCATAGGCGAAATGGGGGATAGCCAGAGCAAGTAGTGGTCACAAGACCAGTCAGGAAGGGCAAAGCAAGCTCAGGGTGGATCTCGAGGAAACCACACAAATTCCGAGCACAAGCAAGTGGTCACAAGACCAGTTCACATGCAGCCTTCGCGCAATCTGTTGCCAGGTGGGGATGCCCAGCTCCTCTCGCATTTCCGCCTCGGAGCATTGGTACGCCTCTCTCGGTTCCCTTCGCACGAAGCGTACCGGCAGCGTGCCGATGGGTCCATCATCTTCCCAGTAGCAGACCCGATATTGCACCTTTTCTTCCCACATGCAGATAGTGGCCCCTATCCCAAACAGGTATTCCACCCCTATGAGCAGGTCGAAGTCTTCTGATTCAGACACTCCGCAGTACACTCGCAGCGCGCACTCCTCCTTGGTCCCCGGGTTCAGCATCAACGCCATGGACTGCCTGGTCTTAGGCATCCACTTCGCCTCCCCTCCGTCCGCGGTCATCAGCAAGTAGCCTTCCGCAATCAGGCGGCCCGGCTTGTACAACTGCAGCTTTTCCGCCAGGCGCTTGCCGATGAGCACGTGCGCGGCCCCCGTGTCCACTATTGCCCGCTGCGCGGTGAAGCCTCCGATTGTTATCGTGCCTGCTGCGATCGTTAAAACCGTAGCTTGGCAGGTCATACGGTCCCGCTGCCCCTTGTACTTCCGTGCTCTCGCTCGCCCGCCTTCTCGGCCCGTCTTCCCGCCGCACATCCTCTTGGAACACTAGCCGTCGTGAAGCCCTCCGCAAGCCCAGCTCCTCTCGATCGCGAGCTGGCTGCGCCATGAGCATGAATCCCGGCTCATCCGCCTCCTCCTCTTCCTGTGCCACCATGGCTAGCTGCTTCTGCTTGGTCGCCTCCAACTCCGCCAGCTGGGCTCGCAAGCGTGCCATAGTGGCTTGCCGATCCTCTCCGCTGTCCACCCCCCGTCGTTCCCTTCGTCCTGTATAGCAATCCGCCTCACGGTGCCCTTTCCTTCCGCAGCGAGCGCAGACTGGCGCCCCAGGGCAGTCCCTTCGCATGTGATCACGACTCCCGCACAGCGAACACGCTGCCGGATTCCGACAATCGCGTCGCAGATGCCCTGGTAACCCACAGTTGTGACAGCGCCGCGGCTCCTCTCTGCCTCGTTCTTCTGGCTCCGAGTACGCCGATGTCGCAGCCCATGCCGGTCGCCTCCTTTCCGGGCCCCTTTCTATCGTGCGCTCCACCTCATACAGGCGCCGCCCCGTCTCCACACGTTTCACGATCTCATAAGCCTCCCTCAGCGTCGCTTCCGGCCCCATCTCGTACACGCGCACCTGTACATCTTGCTGCAGGAGCTGACTTAGTCCGTATACAAACTTCCCGATCAGTCTTCCGTGATCCGTACAATTCATGTCCTCCCCCAGCTCCACAATCCACGAGCCTCCCGTAATACGCCAAGAGAGATTCTCCTTCTCTTCGCCGGAAGCCTCGGAACTCCACCACCCGTTCCACCGTTTGCAAGGGAAACTGCTCACGCAGCATGGCCAGGAACCGCGAGGTTGGATCCCGCTCTCCCGGTGCTTTTCCCGAGGACCACTCCAGCAGCTCCTTCCGGGAGATTCGATAATAGGTCTCCGCTTCCCCCGACAGTGTGTTCGTCAGACCGCGAAAGAACTCCTCCGGATCCAGTCGATCTTTCGCCCATCGCGCCTGCAGGTTCTCCAGTTGCATGATATAATTCTTTAGACTCGGGTCGCGCCTCACATCTCCTGAGAACCTTTCCGGCACTTCGATCTTCGGTAGCTGGGTGTATTTCCAGCGCTGAACCACCGTCTCTTCCTCCGTACCCTGCCACGAGGCACTTCGCTAGTATCCGCTTGGTCCTCCTTGCTGCTCGCGAGTTGGCAACTGCGTCCGCTGACGCTCTCCCGCTCCTCCGGATGCGTTATTCCCGCCATCCCCTGGCTCCACACGAGTGCCGTCTTGCGGTCCACTCACCCCGTCGCTGGGCCCATTCCGCCCTTCCGTTCTCCCTGTCTCCAGCGACTGATTCGCCGCCTGGTTCTCTCCTTTCTCACTCGCCATTTGCTGGCTTTCTTCACGCCTTAACTTCACTCCTTCTAACAGGCGACCCGATCGTAATTGCATAAATCGTAGACTGCATGTATGTAAGCTCTGACCCTTCCTAACTCATCCTGACTGCGCGTTATGGCTTCGTTAGCTCACTGCTTGTATGAAAGTAACTTGCAGTAATTCACGAAAACATACATGCAGTGGCAGTCCCATGGCCCAGTAACCAACCTTAAGCTTCCCAACTCAACCCGAGCTAGCCTAGCCAAACGATTGTGTTTCTGCTGGGCTGCCTAGCTAGCCATCCATCCAGAACAACTGTCTGCCTCCAGCTGGCCTTGCTGACTTCCAACTCCCTCCTGGACTCGGTGTCTGCACAAGAAAACAAACACACCACACATGCACACCATACCCCATACATTCGCATACCATGCCACGTCATCTCGCTGCCAATCCTGCCAGCCCACCTCCCACTCGCCAGCCCGCCGCCCTACGTGGAGTTGCCATCCCATTTACCTCGCCAGTTACCCTCCCCTCGCCGAGTCTCCCGCCCTGCCTCACTTCTGCCGTTAGCGATCCCCACTGTTGAGTGTTTCGCTTATATACAAATATACAAGTGTTCCTCCTTCGTTACGCTCTACACCCTCTGCCAGCACTTCTTAGGTGTCAGCCTCAGAGTTCTGACATAATCGATCTTGCCCTCACATACTAGCGCAAGGTGGTTCAATACCAGGCCCTCAGATAGCAGCGTAAAACACGCTGATTAGGCTGATTTTGTAGCTGTGATTTTTGTTTTCCCTGAAATTTCAGTATCTTCTTTATGTTTGCACTGATTTTTCAGTTTGAAGTATAGGACTACCCTGACGAATTAGTGTTTAGGTGTACCAGTAACACTGAAGCATCAGTGTAGTGTACCGAGTCACACTGATTCGGACTTACCAAAATGCGAAGGGCACAGGGAATGGGCTCAAATCCCCGCCACACAGTAGTAATCCTCTCACGCGTGGGACTTGAACCTGGGACCTTTGCTAATAGACAACTACGCTAATAGTAATGGACAATATGCTCAAGTTAAATAACTACACTGATGATTCAGTTAGCCATGAAATTTCACCCTGACCAAATCAGCATAAACTTAACCCCCAACGCTGATTTGGTCACGACTTTGGGCAGGGCACGCTGATCCATCAGCATACCCTGAAACCAATCTGAGGGCCTGTTCAATACTTATCATTATAACGCTTCCGCAACTACTAAGGGCTTTTCTCAGCCCAACAGTTGCGGGTACAATTGAGGTTGATCCAGCTAGCCTCACTCACAAGGTACTTGTTGTGTTGCTCTATGAAAGGAGAATAGTTTCATAAGTTGCTGATTAGCCCAGCACCGAGGTATGCGGACGAGCTCGGGTTCACAAACCTCAAAAGGTCTGCATTGTAGTCAGAACATGGGGTGGGGAACTACCGGTATAAAATGAACCATCCATTACACCATTTTCTTAAACTTCCCGCAGAGCGCCTTGGGGTTACCCTGATGAGTCGTAAAAACCACCTTGGTCGTACGGACTACCTCACTCATCATGGTATGCACAGCAGCCTTAGGCGCTGGGCCTTGCGTCAACGTGACAAAGAAGCTGTAGCGCTTGCGCGCAGCACTCGCGTCGCTCGTCATGTTGGTCCAAGAGGAGATCGACAGCACACTGCCCGGATTAAAGCAGTAAGGCCCTCCGGTTACTGTAGGAGGGCCCCCTCCGGACTTGATGTTGGAGACATGGCCATCCAAGGTGAATAAGTACAACGATGCAGAGTACCTGGTCACAGGCCAATACGAGGCACCATCACGAGGAGGCAAAGGAAATGGGATGCGGAGAGGGATTGGCAAGGGGGGGGGTGGATGATGGGGGAGTGGGAGGGGAGCGAGCGGGAAGGGGGGAGAGGGGGAAAAAGAGGGTTGTTTGCTCGGCCATGAATGATTCTACCGGCAAAGTAAGAAATTACACGAAGACCTACCTCACCGACTTGAGGACAAGTTTCCCCCATGCACCACTGTCGCCAATTAACTTTCCCTTGCTCTTAGTAGCATGCATCTTGGCCACATACTTCTCTGGTAAAGGAAAAAAGGCATGGATTGGGGCGCATGGAGGCGGGGGAGTCAGCGGAATGGAAGGATGTCAGTCAGATGAGGAGCAGGAGGAAGAAGAAGCACCATTGCTTGACAACATCCTGTGGCACTCCACAGGTAGGAAAGAGCAGCACCCGGTAGCATGATGGTGTGACAAAATGCGCATCTACACGCGCAAGTGCATTCAGGGCTTCGTGAACGGAATGCGATGACGTGGCAAGGCATGGTGCGGCACAGCAGTACATCCGGTCGGCTTGGAGGAAGTGGCTGCGGGTCACTCACCGACTACCTTCCCCTTCCACACCAAGGGCCTGGCCTGAGCGGCAGAAGCGGCCGCAGAAATGTTGCCGCCGCGTGAGAGGAGTGGCGCGAGGAGCGTTGCAGACGCGGTAGTAGCGCCCGCAGTGAAGAACGCTGCACCTGGCGGGCAGGCAGGGCGGCATGAGCGAGCACGAGGGGCGATCGTTGACGATATCACTGACAGAAACCAACTGGCTGAGGCCAAGAAGGAGCGCACACACTAAATCGCTAAGTGGCATTGATTGACGATCATCATGTGCCATAATACTAGGAGCAAATGGTAGTAGTAGGGCTTACAGAGAAGGACTAAGACGGGAAATGCTGCGCGCTCCATGATCGTCATGTAGTAGTGTCTACTCTAGTACACTTGTAGTGGTAGTAGTAGTAGTACTAGTAGTAGAGACTCGTAGACAGGACAATAGGTGTGTGGCGTAGCGACTCTTATGATTTTCTTGGCGCTCGTGACCAGGCAACATGTACTCTATCATCGATGAGCCTGAGAGGGACAGCTGCCTGGCAACTCGTCGCTCCGAGTCGGAGAACGAGGAAGGAGACAGTCTGAGAGAGAGAATGAGAGAGCGGCCGCGAGAACGACTCCGCGGAGGAGGTGGGGCTCACCATGCGATCTGGGACGCCGCGGCACTTCCAAGTGGCGCCAGCAAGTCGCCGAGGCCCTGCGCGGGGGATTCCTGCTTCCATTCCACTACTTCAGAAGATCGAGATCCAGCTCTGAAATTTCCCGCCAATCCGATATGGTTGAATGTATTGAGCCAGCTTTGTGCTAGCCTCTGTCTGTCCTGGGATGAAGAAAAGCCCTGGAATGCACTCTCCTAAAGCCCTCTCTCTCCTTCTGTCTTCACGACGGTCGTGAGTCGTGCCGTGATGCCGATGACAGGCGCATCGCGGATTCGCGGAACAGCGGGCAGTGCACCGTTTGAGCAGCATCGCGACTTCTACTGTAGTCTGGTAAATCGCTGTGGCACACTGCTGCCTGTCCTCCACCGCAATGCACCGCAATCCACTGTGTGACTTTAGGGCGTGGAGGATATACATGAACTAGGTGTCACGTTCGGACCTCTAGAGGTTAAGAACAGTGTGATGTGTTGCAGAAAGGTATGTGCAAAGGACAGAGCGGTGATAATGGCTGGACCATTGACTGTCGTCGGTGATAGCGCCTTCCCTTCCCCTCCGCACATCCGGCTTCCGAGGCCATATATGACATACCACATGATGCGCCCGCGCCTTTACTGTACCTCGCGGGTTGTCGCTGCGTGCGCCTTGTGGTGTGTCCGTTCTGCGTCTTGACGTTTCCTTTCCACCGCACGATCCTTGCAGCATTTTGGTCTGTTTGCCATTGCTGCCGGCGGATGGATAACCTAGTCGTTAGGATATTACTACGCCCTGCTTCGTGCCATAAGAAACCGCGTAAACACGCTCCTCCTTGGACAATTCGGCGCTGACGTGGTGCTTCGTGAGGGGTGTCCCAAAGGCTCGTTCTCCCTAGTTACCATACCCAACCATTTTACATCATACATTGACCGCTTCGGAACACAGAGCACCTCATTGAGCCGCTTTCAGACGTGATTTGACTACAAGAGTTTTTGGGTGCGGTTAGTTTCTACAAACCGTTCTACAAGCCGATTAGCTCCACTAACACGAATAAGGGTACATTCGTGGCCCGTGTCAGACTTCAGGTCAAAAGCCCTTGACTTCAGGGTGTCTCCAATTTGGCTCATCCGAACTCGGATTTGCCTCACAATCAAGCCACTTCGGGTCTTCCAAGCCTCCACTTCGGGTCTGACCTGGGCCCAGTTCGGCAGTCAGGGGGAAGAAAAATGTTCGGAAGATGTGTGGAAGGTAAGGCGGGCACCCAGGGTCAACATTCGTTGACCCTGTTTTCCGCGAATTGCGGATAACCTGCGCCATCTGCGAGCTGGCGGAGGGTGGAGGGGGGAGGTATGAAAAATCGCCGCAGGAGAGAGGCACATTTTGCCTCAAATCGCTTGTTCCTTTGCACTGTAGCGGGAACAAAAAGGTTCGCCAAGAAGGGAAAAAATATTCGCGCCCCACGCTTTTGGGGAAATCCTATTTTCAAAAACCGGACAATGTGTTTTTTTATGCAGTAACCCTTTCCTTCGTAGGGTGCAATGTTGTCACGTGAACAGTGAACCCAGGTGGAATCAAAAAGTTGGTCAGGGAGACGCAGCTGCGGGAATACCATGCGGCGAAGCGGGACAGACTTCATCTGATGGCGGGTACGAACATTGAACTGGCGGGAGAGGTGCCGTCCCCTTTCCTGTCAGCGAGGGTAAAGGTCAGAAAGCAGCGCACACAGATTGCAGAGCTGTCAGTAGGCGGTGTGACGGTGACAGATTCCAAAGAAATTCTGACGGCGGCCACCAACTATTTCACAGACCTTTTTGGATCGGACAGTCGCTCGACGACGGCCATTTGGAAACTATTGCCGGGGAAGAAGCTGGGCTCTGACGCAGCGGCGGCACTGGAGGCGGACTGGTCGGAGCAGGAGGTGAAACAAGCTTTCAAAGCCTTGGCAAACAACAAATCGCCCGGGAGAGACGGTCTTCCGAAAGAGCTCTTCGAGCAGAACTGGGATGTCTTGGGGGGAGAGTTCCTGAAGATGGCGAAAAGTTTCTCAGAATCGGCCTCGCTCCCTGCAAGCGTCAAGGAAGCGGTTACCATCTTGCTTTATAAAAAAGGAGACAAAGACAAGCTGGACAACTATCGCCCCATCACCTTACTCAACTTCACCTACAAGGTTTTGGCGAGAGTTGTGGCGAACAGGATGAAGCAGTGGCTCCACTTAGTGATGTCGGAGGAGCAGTACGGATTTATACCTGGGAGGAGGATATCTGACGCGATTGGCGTGGTGGCTGACGTCGTTGAAGCAGCGAAAAAGGGGAACGAAGATTGGTACATGCTCCTGGTGGACTTCCGTAAGGCTTTTGACTCGGTGTCCCGGAGTTTCCTCTTTACGATCCTGAGAGATATGGGTTTCCCGGAGAGATTCGTAGGCTGGGTGGAAGGCCTGCACAGAGATACAAGGACAAGGTTACTAGTCAATGGCTGGCTGGGAGAGGCGGTGGAAGTAAAATCAGGGGTGAGGCAGGGGTGTCCGCTTGCTCCATACCTCTTCCTCTGCGCGGTAGAGCCGCTTGCGCAAGAAGCGTGTAGGCGGAAGCTGGGCCTCTGCAGCAAAGCTGGACAGCGGTTAGTTTACCTGGGTTACGCGGATGACACAACACTGTTTTTGGAGGGAAAACGCCAGATCGCCAGGGCAGGAAAACTACTGAAGCAATTTGCAGAGATGTCAGGTCTGGTCACCAACAGGGAAAAATCGGTTGTCATGCCGCTGGGGCATAATCTTGGAAGGAGACCTGGGACTTTGGGGGGCTTCAAATGTGCAAAGGCTGATGAAGCTGAACGCCTTCTGGGGGTCTGGATCACCCCCCTCCGGTAGCAGCGAACCGACATGGTTAAGGGCTTTCGAGAAAATTACAGTGGAGCTGATCAAGTGGAAAGCGCTTTTCCTTACGATTGCGGCAAGGGTGGTGATCATAAACTGCTACATCACGCCTAAGGTAGCTTACCAGGCTCAAGTTTACCCCCCACCGGAAGAAGTCTGGAAGAAGCTGATGAAGTTATTTCATAACTTTCTGTCGGGGAATAACGCGTCGGCGGATGGAGGTTTTGTGCTGTGGAGCTGGGATCTCCTCTCTACTCCGCGAGGTGATGGGGGGCTCGGAGTACTGGACCCGGAGGTCCTCATGGCTTGTCTTGCGGCCAGGAGAATCGCTGGACTCCTGTCGGAGGGGAACGGCAAGAAAAAAGAAATCATGCTTAAAGCGGCGGGGCTCCCGATGGGAGAAGACACTTTCACGGCGCACGAAAAGGTGTTGAAGCACTGGCCGGGACACGGGGAGCGGTGGAAGCAGACCTGCGAAACTTTCCTGAAATCGCCTCTCGCTGACACAGGGAAAGTCAGTAGCAAGGAGGAGGTGGCGCTGGAAAGAATTATTTTCAACAGGAACGTGCTGCTGAACGGCACTAACCCAGTGGGCGGGCAGAAGGAGGCGAAAGGGCTCTGGGATACTCGCATGGGGGACCTGGTAACCACATCGCCCTCAGGCGAAGCAGCAGTTAAGGACATGGATGTCTTGGAAAAAGAGTTGAGGGGCAAGGACTCTGCTCGGCTGGCTCTCAGAGCCTTTGCTGCAGCCCCGGAGGAGTGGAAAACCCTGCTGATCCCCAACGGCACGGCTGGAGGAGGAGGGGAGAAAGAAGCGGTTATAGCGGTGACAGCAGGGGGGTGTCGCGGGGCCACGGCTTCAATTTTCCGGTCAGCAATTTTTGACGGAGAGCGAGCAGCTTCTCTGAAGCGGATGAGGGAGGTGTGGACCAAACCCGATGCAGTCCTAACGAAGCAGGCAAAGTGGTCTGGTCGATGGTGCGGCAAGATTGACTGGCAGCGAATCATTCGCACACGTAACTCGCTGGCCATCCCGAGCCGACCGAGAGATGTCCTCACACGGGTGCATAACCTGAACCTTCAGGTCGGGGAGCGAGTTGATTTTCTCAGCTGCAAGCCAAAATGCCCATACTGCGGAGTGGAGGAAACGCACGAACACTGTCTTTTCTCCTGCCCGAGAATTCAGCCAGTTGTCTCAGGGCTCCGTCGTGCTCTGCGCATGCTCAATCCAGGGAGGACAACTGCCTCGTTGGGGGACCTCTTGTTCCAGGAAACCGGAACGGCGTCGGATTTCCCGGAGGCTACCCTCACATCGATTACTTTTCATCAGCTGTGGGTGGAGAGATGTGAAGCAACTTTCCGAGGGCAGAAATTCAGAGCCCGGAGGGTTCTCAGGAGGATTGGGTCGGCTTTTAGGCTACACGCGAGAGTGTACACGAGAGCAATGGGTGCCAAAAGCTTGCGGCCAGGGACATCAGGGAAGGGAAAACGGGTCAGGAGTGTTTTCGAAGCGGAGCAAAAAATGCTGGCGAGGATAAGGGAGACAGGTGACAAAAAATGGAAGTGGTCGACAAACTTCGCTGCTATCTGGAACAAGCCAAAGCGGGCGTTCCTGCCGCCCTAGATGCATTACTGGGCAGTGCATGGTGCAGTGCCCTCACGCTCAGTTACGACTGCTTTTGATGTATGCATTGTCCTCATAAATGTATATGTCAATTTCAAAAAAAAAAAAAAAAAAAAAAAGTTGATTCTTGTTTTGTGAGAGAATCACTTTCTTCTTCCGTCTCACTAGGGCGGAAGCTTTCCGCCAAGGGGGGAGAATAAGGACAGAAGACGGCGCGGAATCAATTTTTGCATGTGTACGCGTCGCTGCTGCTAAACACCTGCGCTTCGATTTCCGATATGTTTACCCTACAACCCGCACTGTACAGCCCTCGATAATGCGAATAGAAGCTTCATAGAAGATGAGCAAAAAAAATTTCCGTCCTTCCGTGGCTGCCGAACTGGGCCCTGATGTCTGACATGGGCCACCAATTACCCTAATACCGTATGAGTTGTGAATGAAGAAAGCATGGAAATTTGCTTACCATCTAAATGTAGCTCAAAGAATGTCCATATAGGTGTAGGCCTAGTTATAATGTAGTGAGGGACTCTGGCTAGGCGTGGACCCCGGAATGTGAGGTTTGGCACAGGCTGGGTGCGCAAAGTCCGAAGGCGACGCGATATACCTTAGCATCAGGGACGAGTAAATAGGGCCGGTTGACAGTTGGGGTTGTGAGTACTGTACGTTAACGTAAACCCAGTCAGGAATGGGAATTCGTTACACTCCCCTCCCCTCCCCACCCCACCTCCTTCCCTCCTCTCCTCCCTTGAAGGAAGGTGGTCCGTATTACGCATGCGCTTGCGGGGAGAGAGGCGAAGGGGTGGCCTGCTATGTATACGGGCGCTACCAATATTGAATTGGCATCCTGATTAGTAAGGGTGGCCCAAAACCAATATCGGCTTTGATTGAAACGCGCAGCGCAGTCGTAGGAATGTACTCTTGATTAACAAAAATGGGAAGGAGCAGAAACTCGTTTTGTAACAACTCAGTCAACAGCTAGGAACCTGCGATATGACTCAGTAAGACGTGGTGTCCAGTCATAGTTGTCGCTAACCCATCTGCACAGCACACAAGTATGAGCAGCAAGGGAACAAAGGCTGAGCATGTCAGACGACAAGAGAGAATCTCTCTATGGAGACAAAAAAACAATCTATGGCTTGCATTGCAACTAAACTCAACCCCTCGCACAATCCCCTGCTTTCCCCACCACGCAAGCTCACCATAGAATCAAGCCCCCCCACTTTGCATCCCATTGGCCCGTCATATGAGATACACACACCATGCCTTCCCCACAAACCTCTGTCCCCAAACCCACCCTCCTACCCTCTCCGTTTACAAACGCACATCCCCTTCACCTCCCCCAAGCCACTCCTGCCTTTCCCCTTTCAAACACCCTCTCATCCCCCTCCCCCACAATCCCCTCCCCCCTCCCTCCTCGCTCTCACTCCAGGTTGCGCAGCTGTGGCTGCAGAGCAGAGCCTCGCGAGAACTGCTCCTCTGCCGCGGCCGTCTCGCCCTTCTGCCACGACACGGCTGCCAGTGCTGCATGCGCCTCAGCATAGTTGGGGTACTTGCGCACAAGCGCCTTTAGGATCTGCTCCGCCTGCCCTACAGACCCCAGCTGCAAATGGAAGACAGGAGGATGCAAGGATGGGCGGAGGTGCTGTGCATTGTGAGACAACTCAGAACGTGCAGCGTGCTGCATCGGGTATACTTGCACACGAGGGCCTTGAGAATCTGCTCCGCCTGCCCCGTGGACCTTAGCTGTGGATGGGAAGGGGACACGGAGAGGGGAGGACACATGGATGGATGGACAATGGTGGTGATCCGGGGGGGGGGTTACGAATGTGGAGACGAGGACAGACGCTGGGTTTGTGCGTTTTAAGGTGACTCAAAAGACGCTGTGTGCGTGCGTGCGGCGCTGTGGAGTAGGGTTACTTGCACAGCAAAGACTCGGGAATATGCGCGGCGCCGCTGCTCAGCTTGTGGGTCCCAGCTGAGCTGAGCATGGGACGGTGCAGGGAAAGCAAGGTTGCAGTGAGGGATCTGCAGCATGGGTCCAGGCGAGGATGGAGCTTCTGAAGATGGCTCAAAACGTGCTGCATGTGCCTCCGCATGACTTGGCTTCTTGCACACGAGAGCCTTGAGAACCAGCTCTGCTTTCCTCGTCAATCCCGCTGGCCGGCACAGTGGCTAGCGGAGCAAGGAAGGGTTGAGTTGAGAGGTACGAGCGAGGAGGGCTGTCGTTCACAAAGAGCGGATTCATCGCAGGGCAGGCAGATTTGAAAGTCAAGGACATGCTGACAAGTAGCAACGAAGAAGGGACAACGGGATAGCAAGGATGGCTCTGCACTGCACCGCACCTGCACGAGCACCACAGCAGTGGCCATGCGGTAACCAGCTATGCCTGGTGCGAGCAGTGCAGCTGTCTTGAGGGCATCGAGCGAGGCGGCGTAGTGGGCGAGGCGGCTCTCCACCATGCCCAGGTTGAACCACGCTGCTGGCTCCTGCACTCAGGGGTGAGCGAGGAGGGGAAGACAGGGAGAGAGGGCAGGGAAAGGAGGCAGTAGACGAAGGGGTGGGAGCGGGAGCGTGAGGAAGATGCAAGTGGCGGGGGAAGGAAGGAGGGAATTATGAGTGGTTTAAGGCACCAAGACTGGAGTGGTCAGCATGCGAAAGAACCTCTTTCTTCCTTACATCCGCCACACACAACCTGTTCTCTCCCGCGCTGAATGCACTTCTACACCCCCCTTGCCACTTCCCCTCCTCAATTATCGTCTCTTCCTATCCGCCCTCATCCCCTGCTCTCCCCTCGTGCCCGCACCCAACGCCATCCCCACGCCTTGTGCCCATTCCCCACGCCATCCCCCCCACCACCACCTTCCCCCCACCCCCTCCTCTCTCTGACCTTGGGTTCCACTTTCACGGCGGCACGACAGTCCTTGAGCGCCTCTTGAGGCGCCCCAAAAGTCATTTCCCCCCCCAACCTCCCCCCACCTTTCCCCCTTCCCCCCACCCCTTCCTCTCTCTCACCTTGGGGTCCACCTTCACGGCGGCCCGGCAGTCCTTCAGCGCCTCACTGAACCGCCCTAGCGCCTTAAGTTGCAGGGGGCGGGGCGTGGGGGTGGGGGAACACGGGGCCAAGGGGACACGGGGTGTTGGGAAATTGAGCCATGGGGGTATTGGATTGGACCACCAGAAAGTTGCGGACAAATGGCGATGGGGTTTGGAAAACACATGCACCGTCACATACCCCTATCTTCCCCGCTCCCCATTTCTCCGCAAAACCCACCGCAGGCTTCCCCGATACACCCATCCTTACCGCCAGCGCAATCCCGCGGTTCAACAGCGGCACAGGCGCTGTCGGCGCCAGCTCGATCGCGCGCGCAAAGTCCTCCGCAGCTTCGTCGTATCTTCCCAGGGACATTCTAACGGACCCCCGATTGGACCACATGGAAGCGCTCTCCGGCAGCCGTTCGATCAGCTGGGTGAATTTCCCCTCCGCGGTTTCTAAATCGCCGGCGACAGCCGCTCGCAGCGCGTCCTGCAGCTCGATGTCGTCCACGTCGCGCAGTCGCACGATGCGCTGCTGCGACGTCGGCGGCGACGACGAGGAATCCTCCGCTGCGATCGCGGACGCGGGGAGGAACCAGCCGGTCAGCGCGGGGGTGCTGCTGGAACTCAGCCAGTCCGCTCCTCCCGCCGCTCCGCCGACGGCGGAGGCGGAAAGGCTGGCGAGCAGCGCGAGCGACGCGCGGCGCGAAATGGTGGGCGGCTCTGCGGATGGTGATGCGGGTTGCGCAGACGGCTCCGCGGCAGCGCGCTGGGGCTGCGCCAGCGCGCGCGGAGCAGGATTGGCGCGCGATGGCGCGGAGACTCCGCTAGGGGCGGAAGGTCCATCAGCAGCCCAGCTGCAGGAAATGCGGGGAGCCAGGCGCGCGGAAGCGCGAGCAAGCGCGGCCATGACTTGGAGGATTGATTGGTTGCGAATGCAGAGAAGATTCTCAGTGAGGTGCACTTGTGGCAGCCAGGTTGGATCGACCCTGGGCGTGACCAGAAATCGCCAAAACCATATCGGAGGGCTCGAAACGAAAGTTTGATTCGAAACGAGGCCTCGCGCGCAAATCGAACTCAACTCGTTGAAATTGGTGGGTGTCGATCAGATTTCAGGAAGGTATTTCCCGTGCGAAATTTGGTAATCGCTTTCCCGCCCCCGTCCCCCGCCGAACCTGCGTTTCGCGAACACCACAGCGAGAAACTGGTTCAATCTTGAGCGAATTCTCGTGATGTTCGATCGCTCCGACCATTCAAGATGCTCTGTGCGATTGTCACTTGCTGGTGCATTGCCCCAGGGAATTTTCCATCATAACGGCAGTCATCACTGCTGATGTGTTCCTGTCCAGCTATACCATTTTCCATGGCTGGTGAGATGTGCGGAGAGTACGTCCGAATGCAATTGAATATGGCTTGGTACGATCTCGAGCGGTCTGTTTTAGCGTTAGAATGCTTGGGTAGGGTATAGTCGCGAGTACGTACTTTTCGGACCACCTGATTTCTTGCTCTGCAAGTCCAATATATCCCTCGCGCACTTGTTTCCGTAGGCACGCTTCTATGGAATCGTCGGCCTGGCGGCTCATGCGGAAAACTCACCGATGTGTAAACGTGTTGGAAAAGAACAAGTGTATGGGTAGAGTAGAGAGGAAACCGTTCGTGCTAGTTTGAGAGTGTAAGGAGTCGGTTGACGTGGAGAGCCCTTTTCCCCCCCGTAAAAGACGCACGACGCAACCGCGAAGGCCAGCAAAGGAGATTTACGACGGAAGTAAACTTTGATGCTGTGTGCTCAGGTTCAGGATCAGGTTCAGGATCGAGGTCAGGGTGAGGCCTGTAAGAGCGCGTTTGTGGTGGTAGACGAGCCGCGGTGCGATGACAGGCAATTGGGTGCAAGAAGGGGATCGCGAGCACGAGGAGAGAGGCGGAGGGCGGGTGGACGATGGCGGGGAAACTGGGGACTGGTGCGACAGTGAGGGCGGAAGAGACGAGAGTTCAGGCTGCATGGGAGAGGCTCGAGGCGAAGGACGGTGCGAATCGGCGGGAGACGGTGGAGCAGCAGCAGGGGAAGTAGAAGCCAGAACAGGAGATGCAGGAGCGGTAGGAGCGGCAGGAGCGGCAGGGCTGGCACGAGCAGAAGCGGGTGTACGAGGAGAGAAAGAAGGCGCAGAGAGAGAGTTGGAAGGGGTGAAGGGTGCCCGTCACAGAAGGCGCATGGGCAGGTGGATGAGGAACAGCGGGGTCATGGCGCTTTGCCCTCGTGCAATTTTATCAGCTCCGATTTCATCGACTCTCTCCCCTCTTCCGTGTGGCTCCATATCTTCCGTAGGGCCAGCCTGCACGCCCTTCACTCCCCTCATCGCCATCCCTACCCAGCCCACTCCCCCCACGCCCCGGCCGCCCCTCAAGCCCCGCCGTCCTCGCTTGCCGCTCACCCCCTTGAACGCGCGTCTCACTCCCAGAGCAAGAGCACGCACAGAAGAGATGGCGGCAGCATGGGTGATCATCCATGGCAGGGTGGTGGATCGGGAGGGGACGGCACGAGGCACACTGATTGTCATGGCCTTGAGCACGGGAAATTGTGCTCGAATTCGACTCGGAAAACGCCTGGTCATGGGGATGGGCATGGGCATGGGCCTAGTCGTAGTCATGGGCATGGTTATGGCCATGGGGCTGATGGTGATGTAGCTAACGGTGGTGATGCTGACTGTTCGGCCCCTGCTGTTGCGACCCAAGATGCTAATGATACCTGCAGCTGTGGCTGTGGACGCAGGTGGACTGATATCGCCGAGGGCGAGTGTGGTTGTGGAGGGGGAGGGGGGCGGATGAGAGGACAACTGGACTGGCAGGAGGGTGCCGGTGATGGTTGTGGGGGAGAAGGGGGGAACGCGAGCAGGGAGGAGAGAGGTGATGGGGGGCAGCGGGGGCGTGAGAGCAGGGGGGGCGTTGAAGGGTGTGATTGGCCCATGGTGGTCTGTGCCATGGCTAGTAAGCGGCTCCTGCAACACGCAGTGCAGACGCCGTCGCTCCGCCTCTTTGTCCCGCCCAACCGTCTCTCCTCCCTCTTCTGGTTCCTCTCTCATACCCCATCCCTCACCTCCCTCTCCCTGCACTTCCCTTCCCCGCCGCTCTTCCTTCCCTACCACTTGCAGCGCGCAATAGCCCCCTCGGTCCTCTCCCTCTCCTCGCTCCACCTCTCTTGCTCATCTGCTCCGTCGCCCCCCCTTCCCCGTACCTCCTCCCCGCATTTCCCCCCTCCCTCTCCCTCTCCGCCACCGAATGTCCTCAGTCCCACACACTCCTCGTCTCCTGTAGCATTGAGGGATGGCAGGAGGAGGGGCGAAAGAGGAGGAATGTTAGCAAGGGTGGAGAGGACTAGGTGGGCGGGGGGTGAGGGAGGAGAGCAGGAGCTGGGCGAAGGGATTGGTAGAGTCGTGGAGGAAGAGGAGGAGGTGGAAGGGGAGCAGGAGCAGACGGAGGAGGAGGAGCAGGGAGCGAGTTGGGGTGCGATGACATGGCTGGGAGCGTACCCGTGTCTGCGCCATGTGTCACTGGAAGGCAGTGCCTGGACATGGCATGTGCCCGGCCTGCATATGCCAACTTCACACCCACCTCGCATGCCCGATACCCCCTTCTCTTGCCCCACCCCACCGTCTCTGTCACACCACTCCTCTCCTCCTCCCCCTCCTCATTTCTTCCCCCGCCTCACGTCCCTCCACCTCTCCAACGTGCGGTATGACTGGCCACTCTTCTCCCTCCTCCACCGCCTCTCTCCTCAGCTCACCTGCCTCTCTCTCACCCATGCCATGGAGCAATGCTCCCTCCCAATCCCCCTCTCTTCATCCTCCCCTCCGCACTCCCCTTCCTCCTCCTCCTCGTTTTCCTCCTCCCTCACCTCCTCGTTCAACTCCTCGTTCTCCTCTCCCTCTCCCACCTTCCCACACCATCTTTCCATCACTCTCCACCTCCCTCGCGCCCACACCATCCGCTTCCATTTCACCGCAGCCTCACGCCTCTCCTTCCTCCTCCTCGCCTCGCCCCGTCTCTCCACTCTCTCCATTGTCGGGGGTGGGTGTCCCGTGACCGTTCTCAACACTCCGCATCTCCACTCCTTGGTGGCTGGCTGCATCGACCTTTCACTCCCTCACCTCCTCTCTGTGCGTCATCTCTACCTGCTTGTCGAGCCCAACGCTCTGCTACTGCGCCAGCCCACACGGGTGCTACCTGGCGGTTATGCTGGGATCGCAGCACCTGGGTTCGTTCATGGCCCACCTGACAACCTTTATGGTGTTTCACCTGGCTTTGAACCTGGAGTAGCAAGCCTGGGGAGTGCTGGAGGGGAGTGGCTGCTGCCAGAGATGAGCAGCGATGCGGAAGAAAGCATCAAAGGCACCAGCACACACTTTCCCAGTGGCCATAACATCCGTAGCAACCACACCCACAGCAGCAGTGGCAGCATGGTTAGCAGCGGTAACGAAGAGGCGCACTTGTCCTCGCACGCCGATGTGGCTTCGTCGCACGAGCACCTTCCCATCCCCCCCCCTTCCAGTTGGCTGGCCCGTGTGGCAGGGACAGTGCAGATCCTTGTAGCACGGCGGGTAATAGGGCAGCTGGAGTGTGGCACGTGGGGAAGCCTCAGGAGCATGGCAGTCAAGTGCATTTCCTCCCGCCGCCAGCACCACCATCCCACACCGCCCTTCGCCGTCTCCGCGTTGCACAGGCAGCAGCCGTTGAGCCTCACTGGAGCCACCACCGCTGGCAACAGCAGCAATGCGACTAGTTTGGGTAGCGGTTTGCGCGGTACATTTGCAGCAGGAGCAGCAGCAGCAGCAGGACAAGATGTGCCCATGAACCAGGGACGAATGGGCGATACACCAAATGACCTGTATCATCCGCTTCATCCCTACAATCCCCGCAGTCTTTCCAATTTCGGCCCTCTCTCTGCCATTCCTGCTCCTGCTCTCTTCTCTTTGTCTGAGATCGATTCTTCCTCCGAACCCAGCCTTCTCCCCCTGCCAGTGGGTACAGGGCTTTTGGGATTTTTCTGCTGCTTGCTGGGTGCGCCCTGCTCCCGTGCATCCCTGCACGCCCTGCTGCTGGACTGCCCTCTCATGCGCTCCCTGCACGTGTGGGTGCCTGCTGCTGCTGAGACGTGGCGATGGGATGTGAGGAGCGGATGGCTGGATGAGGGAGGAAGCGAGGAGGAGTGGGATGGGGTGGGAGAGGCTGGGGAAGAAGCAGAAGAGAGTGAGGATGAACGCACTGACAAGGAGAGTGGGGGAGATGGGGAGGGTGTGGAGGAGAGAAACAGGGAGGTTAGTGGTAAGCAGGAGGAGTGCGTGTGGGAGGAGGTGAGAGTGGGAGAGAAGGTGCTGAATCTGCCGCTGCACATGCCTGTCAACAGCATGAGCATTGCAAATCTAAGCATCACAACAATGGGTGCAAGCAGGGCTCCCATCTCTCATAAGCCGCTATCCTTGCATAGACAGGCACCTGCTTCTTGGAGGCCCTCACATGCAACAGCAAGCACAGTGAAGCAAGGCAGTAGCAGAGGCAGGAACAGAGATAGCAGCAGCAGTGTTGGCGATGGAGGTGGTGGCAGCGGCGGTGGCAGTGCTATGTGGCGCAGCATGCATGTTTTTCACGAGTGTATCGATCCATCGTATCGACTGCATCAAGAAGAGATGTACTTGTAAGTTGTCCTGAACGACACAAACCTACCATTCCGATCCCAATTCCGTATAGGGGTTGCCTGATTTATTTTGATTTGTTTCCAGCCGTTCCTTGTTTTCCATGCATATTCTAGCGATCTCTGCAGATTTTGGTTTATTTTCTTCTCCTTCCTTTTTTATGTCCCACCTTCTGATCAGATCACCCTGGTGGAGACGGGACCCTTGGTGATAATGTATACTTCCACATGAAAGGGAGTTGCAGAGGCATTATGGGTGCACCTGTTTTATATTTGTGTCGAAAGCATAAGCAGTTTTGTTAGTGGTTATCCCAGGTGTATAGCACTGTGTCCCAACTGTAGATTCGAGACTCCCCAACCAACCTTGACGAAGCTCAAGGCCGCACATTTATCTTTCTCACGCATTGCCGTACTCGCTCATTGCCTTATCGCACACTGCCGTTCATTTTGACGGAACTACCCAGCAGAACCATATCATCAGCAGTCACTCACACACCGACATCGCCAACAATGAGAAGGGACTTCCATTTCAAGCCAGAAATTCAGTTGTTTTGCGCCGTTGCGCTTCCTCTAGCGATGAGTGCCATGCAAGTAGCCCCTGGTGAATACGTGAAGGTTTCTAAAAACACAACTGGCTTTGTGGTGGTCAAGAATGAATTTTATTTCAAAGGTGAGAACCACATTATTCTGCTATTCTCTCCGTCCAGTCAACATTTCTCGACTACCTGGAACTCCTGCAGGCATTAATTTCTGGGAAGCCGTATGGTTGGCAATGCCCGAAGAATCGGGAGGAAACAGGAGCAGGCTGCACTACGAACTCGACACATTAGTCAGCGTGGGCTTGAATGGCATCAGAATCCTTGGCTCCAGTTTGGGACCGAATTCTGAGCCATACCGGTGGAAACCGGCTCTGTTTCCTGAGTGAGTGACTTATGCGGTCCTCCGTCACTTTTTGTGGAAGGCAAACCCATGTTATATTATTGCCATTTCAGGCCTTTCAAGCACGACGAGTCAGTGTTCAAAGGACTCGACTATCTCCTTCATTCCCTAAAGGAACGGAATATGAAAGCAATCGTTTCTCTCAGTGACTTTTGGCAAGACTCCGGAGGATTCGCTCAATACGTTTTTTGGGCAGATCCATCACAGGTTAGTCCAACTCCCCTCGCGGCTTCTTCAGCCGTCTTCAACTTTCACTGACCCAATCGCTCCTCTTGCGACTTTTTTTGCAATGCTTGTTGCAGGACATCCCTTATCCTCCGTCGTTTCCTGACTTCACTGGAAGCTGGCAAGAATACATTGAATACGCTTCTCGGTTGTACTGTGACAAAAGCATCATGAAGTCAGCTCAATCCATGTTAGAAAAACACATCAAGACCATCATTCAGAGGGTGAATCACATCAACGGTATTGTCTACAGTGAAGACAACACGATCTTTTCGTGGGAGATAACAAATGAGCCTCAAGACCCACCTCGCTGGTGGATTGACAGGATGGGTAAGTTTCGTTTCATATATTTGTGAAAAACTGGCCACACGGCTCACCTTTTTTTCTGTTACAGGTCACTACATCAAGTCTCTTGATCAGAATCATCTGCTTACAAGTGGCTTAGAAGGGAAAGGCAATGACAGCGGCAAAGCATTCATTCGCACCCATTCTAGTCCATACCTGGATTTTGCAACCGTGCACCTGTGGGTAAGTAATCACAATGCTTACAACTAATTGTGTTGATTGTAGATCGTCTGAAATGAGAACCTCCGCAGGTTGAGAACTGGGGAATATACCAGCCATACAATGGAAGTACTGCTAATCTCATTGCAGCCAAGGACTATGCAACTGAGTTTCTGGAAAGACATGCGGGCTACATGCACCGATTGAAAAAGCCACTCATCCTCGAAGAGTTTGGACTAGCAAGGTAAGCTAGCATATCCTAATTCGACATCCTCGGTGAATGGTCTCATCAAAATTTCATTAGAAACTGCATTTCAGAGATGGGTGGGAGAAGCAGGAGTGGACAACGCCAAGCTCCACTAACAGATACAGTCCTGAAGCAGCAACAACGTTCAGGGATGAATACTTCAACCACATATATGCAGCTGTTAATGCAAAAGATAGATTCGCAGGGATTGCACCATGGGCTTGGTCAGGCCAAGGTCGTCCCTCAGACAGTGGCCCACGTCGACTTGGGGATCCCCCACACGAAACACCTGGATGGTACTCGATCTATGATCAGGATGCAAGCACAATCAATATCATCTCCAACTATTCATTGGGATAGGAAGTTTGCCAGTCACCCATGTTCATACCAATTGCTGCTTAAATTTGTGTCATTGATGTACTGAGATTGCTTGCTTGCCATACGAACTGTAATATTTTAGTGAATGCGAGTAAAACATGACAACTGAAAACCTGTTGTTCTAGAGCCTGCCCTCATGTTCTGTCCAGCTGTGAATGAAGCCAAGGGCTGAAGCGGCAGGACAGCCACGAACCCTCATCCGCATGCCAGGAGTAGGCCCTCTAACAACAGACTGTGTCGGAGGCTTAACTAGAGCAGGGACTGCACCATCTCAGTAGAGCCCTGCCTATGCGTGCAGCCCACAAGCATCCTACATCTCCCTCTCCCCGGCCTCCCATTAGAATGAGTCTTTAGTTCCTGAGGCCGAATGCCCATCCTTTGGGCGCCTTCTGGAACTGCCCCCTAGCAGAACCCGCCTCAAACCCGGGGGAAGCGACGAGAGCAAAGAAGGTGGGGGGCTGTGCCACAACCGCCAGCGCCACGTCCTTCACCGTCTGCACGCCGTCAGCGGCAGCCACGGTGGCCGCGGCGCGCCACACGCCCGTGAGAGTGAAGGTGTGCAGCCCTGCCGTGCGCGCAGAGCGCCCCACTGCGCGCTGCAGGCGGCCCCACGCACGCCCCATGGGGCCGCTGCCAGGGGAGGCCGGGGCAGCGCTGGTCCACGCAGGGGGGGACGCGCCGTCCGCACCCGTGGCCGTGGAAAAGTCCAGCAGAGTCAGGCCAGTGGTGGCAGCGCTGCCGCTGTTGAGAGTGAGCGCCGTGGGGGCGGCGTCAGTCGAGAGGGAGATGCGCGCCGTGAAGGCCACGTCGTAGTCCGTGCCGTTCCTGCCGACGATACAACGGGCAAATGGAGGAGGGGGAAGGGGGAAAGGATAGTGGGGGAGGGGACGCTATGAGCGAGGAAGACAGGGGGAGACAGCGACGCAAAAGGATACTGTAAAATCAATGAAGCAGTCAAGATTGAGAGGACTCACGGGAGGAGGGTGATTTCGAGGACGCCAGTGGCGTTGGCATCGCCAGGGGCTGTCAGCGCATCAGCCGCCACACTGCTGCCCCTCAGCTGCGCCAACACGCCACCCGCACTCTTCCCGCGCTTACCCCACCCAAGCCCCCTCCCATTCCCCTTCCCATTGCCCTGTCCCTGCCCGTTGCCCCGCCCCTGCCCATTCCCCTGCCCCTGCCCATTGCCCTGCCCCTTGCCGTTGCCTACCCCCATCATCCCCATCACTCGCGAGCTGGCAGTTGTTGCCACGCCTGCGGGGCTACCACTGTCTGTACTGTTCCCCTGCCCGTTCCCCTGCCCGTTCCCCTGCCCGTTCCCCTTCCCCTTCCCCTTACCTCCGCCATTCCCCTTGCCCTTGCCCTTCCCCTTGGTTCCGCCATTCCCCTTTCCCTTACCCTGCCCCTGCCCCTGCCCGTTGCCCTGCCCCTTGCCGTTACCGACCCCCATCGTCCCAATCACTGCCTCACTCGCGCCTGCGCCAACACTCTCCGTACCGTCCCCCTCGCCTCCGCCATTCCCCTTCCCATTCCCATTCCCGCCGTTGCGCCCAAAGATGCCCCCCAGGGCGCTCGGAGTGCTGCCGTTGCCAAAGAGCGAGGTGAGGCCCGAGAATATGCCGCCCGCGCCCCATCCGCCAGTCGAGTTTCCGCCAGTCAGCGCGCCCAGAATTCCGCCACCATTCCCGACCCCCTTTCCGTTACCGCCCTTCCCGTTGCCTTTTCCGCCGCCGTTTCCCTTGCCGCCTCCTTTTCCGTTTCCGCCTTTCCCCTTGCCGTTACCAGGAGCAGCAAAAGCACCTGCTCATGCACACGACGGCACGCTTGTTCGTTAATACGAACCGTTTCAGAAACAAAAACGGACGGGAGCATAGCTTATTGTGACGAGTGGGGCGCGTGGAGTAAGAGGCGTGGGAGCGAGAGATGGAAAGCAAGAGACGAAGCACGAGGAGTGGGAGCGGACTCACATGAGGTGGCCACGAGAACAATAATCAGAACCGCAAGGATCTTCGTTGACGCCATTTTCCAATCAACTGCGAAAAGCCGCTGATTTCGATTCACCGTGAGTTGCTGAGTTGCCCGATTGCCGATGGGATCTAAGGGTGAAGACTCGAAGCACTTGGGTGGGATGTCCATGAAGGGGCGAGCCGTGGACCTTTATAGCCCTCGGAATGCTCATAACTGTGAGGTGTTTGAGCGAACAGCGGGTGCCCTCCCCAACGTCTGCCACGGCCGCAGCGAGCGACGGATGCGCGGACGGTGATGCGTCGACGAGATCGCGTCGCTGCTGGCGGTGAGTACGAGACAAGAAGTTTTCCATTTCTGACGACTCGCACGGCTGAAACGAGGAGACTGCATGCAGTGTGCCTGCTCGCAATTTGCGAGTCGAGACGGTGAGCGAGTTGGTGCGCTGAGGGCTACTAGTAGTAGTGGGTCGGCTTATCAGCCACCGTCGCTAAGCGACGCAACTCTCGTTATCTGTCCTAATCGTCGTCGTATTCTACGCGAGTAATGTCGGCACGCATGTTTCTGGAGGCGCGGGAACGGGAGGCGTGGCAAGCAGGGGAGGTGGAGTGGAGCACTGGCTCTCGGTTCTCCGACCCAAAAAGGGTCGCGACGAGAATCGAAGAATCGCTGGATTGTGGTGTGGTGCCCTGGCGTTGTCATGCCACCGCGGGACCACCTACCTATCTCTTGGGCGAACTCATCAGCTCTCCACCCCACCATTCATTTAGGGTTGCTGTCATATGGCTAAGTCCCGGACACTCAGTCTGAAATCGAGTTTAAAACCCCATTCACTTTTCCTGTCATATGGCTAAGTCCCGGACACTCAGTCTGAAATCGAGTTTAAAACCCAGGGTCCACAGGTTTCAAAGGTAGGAAGGTTGGTTGGACTTAGTGACAAAACCAAAGGTAGGAAGCTTGGTTGGACTTTGTGACCCAACCAAAGGTAGGAAGGATGAGGCAACTTCGGGATACTTGAGACTCCGGTTTTAAGTCTGAAACGTGGGTTATCCGAGGCGCTCATTTCGGATACGTGGGTTCCCGAGTCGCGCATTTCAAGCATGAAGCTCAACACATGTGAACCGAACTGTACACCCGTTCACGCCCCAACCTTTGGAGACCCTCGTGGTGTGCTTTCGCCTGTGTGCGATCGCTGAACACATCCCGCGCTTTCACGACGGTTGCGAGCACAGTAACGGGGATACAAAGGTGGACGAGTCTCGCTGGATTGCAACCAACTGTCGGAAAATGTGCACCTGGCATGCGGTTGTAAGTCACACCCAATCAACACCAAGTATTCATATTTCATTCAACTGACGTGGCTGCCCCGGACCTTCACTCACCTAAACCGGAGCCTATGTAGCCGAATACCGCCGCCGGTTCCCACACACCACATCCCACCCCACACCCCCTCCTCTCCGACTGTATTAGAATCTTCAGCCTACAGTGCCTAGTCATTGCCACACGTCACCATCTAAACCTCACACCTCATCACGTCCCCATCTAGCAAATCTTTCCAGCCAATCGTAGCTGCGCAAATGATCAGCATCGCCACTCACCCACCTCCCTCATCCACACACTTCCACCACACCTAACCTCACATCACACCCCCTTGCATCTTGGTGCCGTATCCCATCACACCCAGTTCAAATCGTGCACTGAATCTATGTTTCTCGGTTTCCATGTAATCTTCGGCAACTCCTTTTTTTGGCCACCCGTCACTTCCTTGTCTCCAGCAGTTAGCCTTCCCCCTATTCGCGCTGTCTAGGCGTCTTACCTCTTCGAAACGTAGTCGCAAATGTCCCCATTTTTCTTTGCTTATTTTTTATTCCCTCTCCGCCTTCGCTATCCCCTCCCCAATCTCCCATTCTACAGCGCTTCCGCCGCTCTCTTCATGCGGCGGACACGTAATCTCCGAATCTCGGCGGAAACACCGTGTTCCGCGCGAAAGGCGCCGGTGGGTGTGCTACACATGCTTTCCGGATCTCGCGACCAAGCTATCATTCTCCCGTACGTGTGCCGTTGGTGGTAAGTCGTATATTTGTTTCTACTCTCACGGCTTGTGCGTCTCCTGCAGTCGACTGGTTTCTTTTATTTGCGATAAGTGTGCCTATCTTTCGCCTTGGCTTGTAACTTGTGCATTGTTTCCTGCCGCGAAGAGTATGGTGGTCGCACGCTGGTTTCTCTCTGCCGCTGCTTGAGCTTCTCACCATGCGCGTTCTTATCCCAGGCTGTCTGGAATCCAACCTCTAACGATAACGTTTCAGTGTCTGTTGTAATGGTAATCATCCTTTTGCAGGGTTTCAGTTGTCATGTCACGAGATGTTAACTATCATTTCCAGGAGTTTTATCAATACCCCAAGCTATCGAGCACATTCAAGACTATGTTAAAAGTCGCGGTGCAGCCCCGCGGGTGGTAAGTCACTGCGGTGGGGAATAAGCATATGACTAACCAAAGTACTATGTCGTTGTAATGTTTGCAGGCGTTAAAACGAAGCATTGTTTCACATAAGACGTGAAGCCAAGTACAAATACTTGGTGTTAGATGTGTTCGTTTTCGGGGGTGTTAGCGCAAAGTGTGTACTTAATAAATATGTATGCAAACGTGCAAAAAATATTACAGATTGTGTACAGACTAGAACCCTCAAACTAAACCAATTAACATTCAGCTGCAGAAACGAATGCTCCACTAATACTGTTCATGCAAATTCACGGCCTGTAGAAATTAAATTTCGCACACGTCAAGGTCATGTCTGATTGGTCCACGTGGCAAGCTGCCGTTCACATATCAAGAAAGACACCTGGCAGAAATATCCTTGCTTACGTGGCAAAATATCTTCGCGTACGTACCAGCGTACGTACACTTCAAAGTCGAAACTGTACGCGTGCCACGTGGCAGGTCGTGAAACTGCATACATGTGACTGAAATGTATACTTCAAGTTGCAAACAAGTGTCCGCAAAGTTGCGAAAGTGTTGCAGAAATGCAACTTTCTTGCAACTTTCTTTCAACTTTCCAGTGACTCGGATTTCTGCAACCTTCATCCATCACTGCAAAACTGCAAAACCAAAGTATCCAAAAAGTAACTTTTTGGCAAGTTTTAAGCAGCCTACATGCAAGTCCTTTTTCGCGATGGCGCTGAGGGCTACTAGTGGGTCGGCTTATCAGCCACCGTCGCTACGCGACGCAACTCTCGTTATCTGTCCTAATCGTCGTCGTATTCTACGCGAGTAATGTCGGCACGCATGTTTCTGGAGGCGCGGCAAGCAGGGGAGGTGGAGTGGAGCACTAGCTCTCGGTTCTCCGACCCAAAAAGGGTCGCGACGAGAATCGAAGAATCGCTGGATTGTGGTGTGGTGCCCTGGCGTTGTCATGCCACCGCGGGACCACCTAACTCCTATCTCTTGGGCGAACTCATCAGCTCTCCACCCCTCCATTCATCCGCCATGCCTAGCCGTTTCCCTCACCGACTGTGACTGCGCAGCACCCACCGATTCCATTAGCGGCCACTCGGGGAGTCTGGAGTGTAGCACAGCGAAGCTTGTGACTTCGAATTCGACAACCAAGTTTCGAGCGAGGGTGTAACCGAATCGTTTCGCCGCGCTATGCTTGCACGAACCGATTTGTATTTCGTGTGTTACTATAAGGAAATTTCATTTTCCTTACTTCGCGCCCCTCCAGTACACACGATTGGTAACCCGCGCTCCGATCCTCCGCCTCGACAATTCCCAACCTCGGCGCCAGGCCCGTCGCGCACCACATTCTCGCGCATTACCGTTACCACGCTAGGCTTCGCTATATATTGTTCGCTCATCCATTCGCTCATTGTATTCTTGCTTCGATAGTGCAATCTTCGTTCGCTCACTCAATTGCACTTGTAACACTTGGTATTCAGAGCTACGATCCTTTCTCGGACCGCGCCCACACCTTCGCTTCCCACATTATCTCAAATTTTTGAGGGGGTAGACGTCCCTCAGCGACCAAGCACCGCTGCTCGTGCACTTGTAACACTTGGTATTCAGAGCTACGATCCTTTCTCGGACCGCGCCCACACCTTCGCTTCCCACATTATCTCAAATTTTTTAGGGGGTAGACGTCCCTCAGCGACCAAGCACCGTTGCTCGTGTGCTCTCTCGTAAGCACACTCAGCCACGACTGAGGCTCTCGCTGAGCTCGCCCGACACCCCCGCCATGGCTAATTTCCAGCTCGCGGCGATGATGCAAGAGCGCCTCGACGAACTCCTGCGTCAACCTGAGGAGTCGTCGCTCGAAATTGCGACGCTCACGGCGGAACGTGACTCCGCACGACATCAATCTACGGCAAACACACCAGCACCAGCACCAGCAAATGCACCTGCACAATCGGACGAGCCGATTGTCATCTCATCGGGAACACCATCGCAGCACGACAGTGTGGGACAACGCTCAGGCACAATCAGCGATGGCG